TCACGTTTCATTAATAAGAGGGTTTTATTTTCTTCTATCTTCAAAATTTCCAAGAAATTTAACTTTATATTAAACCTGATGAATTTCGAAAGCTCGGTTAAACCATAAAATAAAATGTTGTTCCTGTTACTTAGTACGTTTTTATAACTCTTTGATTTGTATGAACCAGATGTTGGTATATAACAGCATAAAGTTTCAGAACTGCGGTATTATTCGTTGGTCTGCTATGAATTATCGCAGAAGATTGTTATTAAAGCGATTCCAGGTCATTGGCGAGAAACACACCTTTGATAATTTATCTCCCGACATACGACCTCTAAAAAGGAGATTCATGAAGCTACATGTTCGAAAAATTCGGTATCAGTAACGGTGGGTTATCACAGCACTGTGCATAAGAGCAGTTCTGAAGAATCAAGAAATATTACATATTCGCTTAGAAGAATGTAAGGTGGACAAATCAGAATATTATTACGGGTTGCAACTGTTCTCAGTTTCCATGTATGTTTTTCTTAAATTACTAGGACTGCGGTTTCAGGAAGCAACTACACCTCTCCATTCGTCTCCATTATAATAATTTAATCAGTTTCATGATCATTTACAGACGGTAGGACTCTTTTGGCCGCGTGATCAGCTCGTCGCAAGGCCTCTACCTAAACACAGAACCACACAAACACACATACGAAATATCCATGCCTGTATGACATTCGAACCCACGATCCCGGCTTCCGAGCGAGCGAAGATAGTGAATGCCTCAGACCGCTCGGTTACTGTGACCGGTCAATCGTTGGAAATACACAATAGTAAATCATATGCAGGCGAAGTCACGTTAGGGAGACAATGAGTCATATTCTTTGTTGGAGCCTCCCTGTCAATCCCGAGGTTAGCTATCCTGAGTGAGGCTCTGCAGTACTTCCCTCTCTGTTACTAAACACCATATTCACATCTGGAACCAATAACTGGTAACTTGACGAAAAGTTCGGAGCGAATAGAATGTACAGTGAGAATATTCTAGTCACATAATACACGTATGTTTTGCGCCTCGTATTTTCCCTATCACAAGAACAATGGAGATAGACGTTGGCTCATACGACTTTTTGAGGGTGGGCTACGGTAGCTGCGGAAGAAACCAAAATTAGCATCTTATAACATTTAAACCCTTAAGAAGTTTCGTATTGAATTCGTACTCCTTCTTCGGCTCCCTTCATTAAAAGTGGCTTCATATTTTGGAGGTCACGAAGCCACAACGTCGTTTCCAAAATGAACAGCAGCTCCAGGCTAATGCGACTGCGGAAAATCATTTACAATCCCAGGCACTGTGCTCGACGCAAAGTGGTTGGGCTGCTAAGATTACGGTTACAACTACAGGCACACTAATCATTAGATACATAAAATTACAACACTAATTTGGTGCGTATAGTATGCCATTAGAGTTAAGAATGATTCTCAGAATAAAATAATATTATACCGCACGATCTTTTTCGACATTAATCTCAACCCATAAGAGAGTTTACTATCGTAACTCTTTGCTACACCGCCACATACACACAGTTAGAACTTTGTTCTAGAAACTTAAATGTCGAGTATTTGTAGATGACAGTGCTTAAGTTGACAACCTAATTGTTTCTGTCCACGGTTATGCCAACGTGAAATTATCTTGTGCCCGTTTGATAGAATAATACTTAAAATTCGGAAAATGCATGTGGAGATATTTAACACATGTAGAGAGCTTTGGAATATTGTCAGTTGTGCATGTCATAAAACTGAGATATGAGTTCTATGCTGTTTGCTATTTAATCAATGCATGCTATTGCTCTCGAGGGCGAAAAGTAAAGATAAGAATGGCAAATTGATTTGTGGCTGAAGTTGAGGGGGGACTGTGTAGTTTTTCTGTGCCGTTTTTCCACAATGGGCATCAAAGTGCTTGTGCAATCAATAAATTTAACTCAAAAGAAGGGTGTCAAAGATGTCATTACCAACTACACTGCAAGATTTGAATGGATTTGTCCACTTGCTGCATGTCTCCAGAAATGAGCTTGTGTCCACAGCAGGGAACTTCGGATGGCTTGGCAATACGGATATAGAGTGATAGTATTTTCCAAATGAAGCTGCTCAGTGACGTCTTTGTTTCGCCGGCAGACTCCGCGACACTACGTGGTGACAGACACGCCAGACAGACCTCGACGTGCAGAGGAGCAGTACTCGTACTCGTACGCTAGCGAGAAGACCGAGTCCACATCCAGCTCCTCCCCGTATTCGTCTGTCCCCACTCGCTCCTATTCGAGCAGCAGCGAGCGAGTTAGTCGCTCCACGGGATCCGGTCCAGGATCATATTCCTACAGCACGGAGAGGTCCACACGCAGCTCCGACTATCCGGGATCCTACCATTCCTCCTACAGCTCCTCTACGTCAGGCAGACTGCCGCACGGCACCACCTACCGTCACTTCTCTTACCGCGTGTAGTTACCAACCAACCCAACATGCACTCGCCATGGTATTCCAATAGAATCTACACTGAAACTCGAATAGGAATGTAACCAGTTACTTGAAACCGTATACTTTTGTACTCTTTCTAAATAGCATGCTTCACTGGTAATCGTTTCTCGTATCTGGCTGAAAGAAACACTGAAATTATCATGTGCAAATGTTATTGGATACTTAACGGATCCGGAAACATTGACGCGTTGAGTCAGACTTACAACACACAAGTTTAGTAGTTATCATGTCTTAAGAGCGAACAACTATAATTTCTACTCACAAGAAATTAAAATAACCCAGATTGTACTGTTCAGGTAGGGTTAATTAATGTTTACTTAACACCGGAACATGTAAAATATATTGAAGGTATATTTAACGGGTTAGTACGTATTATCATCGCAGAATGAAGGCGTGGCACATTATTGTGTTGGAATTATCATCATTGATATGGAAAGGAAACTATTGAAACTTGTCTACTGTATAATTTATCCGGTTTTTGATGCATAAAACAGACAGAAGATGATATGATTGTCGTGCTCATTATCCATAATCACAATTCACATGAGAGTGATCCCTGTGATAAGATCAGCCATACACAGGAAAAATTATGTTTGCGAGGCTTGCTACTTTTATTTCGCGCAAGATGATAATATAATATCTCGGAAACAAAACATTCTTCTGGAAAATTATAAAACTGTGTCCAAATCGTTTTTAATCGAAATTAGCTAATATAACTTAAAACAATTAGTTGCTAACACTGTAGAGTAGACGTAAATTTGATCTAATGGATTACCATACCATTTAGGGCGAACCATATAATAGAGTGTTATTGCTGTCACACGTATTCAGCTTCTCACTATATGCTAGTTGTGCTTTGTAAGATTTACTGCACCCCATTAAGGGAATATTTTCCGTAGAATAACCTCTAGTCCTGGTAATTTCTAGAATATGCTTCATGAAAGTGAAAGGAAAGTGAGAATATATGTCTGATTTGAAACTAAGTATTATCCTAAATTCAACGTTAGAACAAGAAATTATTACATACCTGTAATCTAAAGTTTATCTTGGAAACTTACGTGTAATAACTGTTACTGAGTATAAGACAAAACCTTCCAGGACATTGTCATTAGGAACACTGTGTTACAAAAAAAAAAGTAATTGTCATTTAGGATAACAATTCTGAAACTTGTCAGATGATTGTGCTAACAGATCGTGTTGTGTTAATATTGCAAGGCTGGTGGCTGTGAAGATACGTTAAGGAGAGAAATGGCGGAGACGTTGTAATTTGTTTTAAGTTTGCGTTAAGTAAATCAGTTACAGATTTCAAATGACCTAAGGATTTTAACATTAATACTACATTCTCCTCTACTGTGGTGATGTATATTGACATGGTTTAACTATCTGTATAGATTTTATTCGAATGTGAAAGCAGATCGGATGTAGGTAATGTAGGCATAGCCATTTCCTTGTGATCATTCGCTCGCAAAATTTATATACAAATCACTCCGTCACTTTGTAACTTACTTCTCTAATAATCTTTGTAAATTATCTCTTAATGGTATGTAGGTCAGTGAATTTTACTTGCTTTGACTTTGTATCAATTTTGAGTGTTATATTTCTAAGCTTTTAGATAGACAAAGGGCACTGATAATAATATAAATGTGTTTAAACGGACAGATTTCTTAACATTATAATAAGAATACAGCATACTTAAGGAATGTTGTAACTTCTATAACTTCATTTCTGTTACAAACTTTAAGATACTTTCTGTAGGGTTACTATGTTCATGTTGTTGTTTCAGCCGACGTAGAATTATCTAATTTAAATTCCGGAGCCGAAATGACTAATCAGTCTACATATTTCATTGGCTATCACATCGTAAATTTATTGAATTTTCTCAGCGAGGAGAGAGAGAATAGCTTTGCCTAATTCACAAGTATAAGTCTCTTGTTCTGAGAATGATCATGTGTGGAGTTTTCAGCTAGGAAGTGAATATAAGAAAACGTAACTCCACCTTCCACAATAAGAACTGTGACAATATTCAAGCACTATTAGAAAGGGGAGTAAACACATGATCAGCTTTTTTTTGTTCGGGTTGTCCTACAAAGTCATATTATTCGAAACGGGCTGTACCTTCTCGTGTTCAAACTTTATATTATCCGGAACATATGAAAGAATATGAAGAAACATCGTTACCGTGTAAATTAGCTTTTCATTTTAATATTCATCAGATTATTCACATTACATTACATACAATAGCATCACAACTGTTGGGTTACTTTCAAATTGGATACAAAACAATTCAGACATACGATCAATCGCATGACGTCACCAGCGACCTCCCCTTGTCGTCATCTGTGCTGTGTTCCTTCTTCAAAAGTTGTTGAAGCCTGAACCAGAAAAATCTAATTATAGCTCCTCTGTTTTCTGTCCGTTTGTGGATCAACCCCCTCCACTCCTGAACCCGCCTTCCCCTTAATTTGACGTCTGCTGGACAACATCCTCGGTGGGACTGCCATCATCAGGACAGCCGTCATCCGAAACTCCATGGAATTGGGAAGGTAAGTTGGCACACAGACCGATGTATGTAGAGTGCTCTATTAATTTAACTCTTTCATTTCTCCTTCCACTAAGACAGCAAGACAACTAGCCGATCCCGGTGGCCTCTTCTTAGTCGGAACAAGTCAGATTGTCTGGTCCGTTACAGAAGCAAGAAGTCGGAAATAATTGTTATATTACATTCCTCTTTACAGAGATCCGTTACTAATGGTCATATCGTTGCACTGCAGTCATAGTGCAAAGGACAAACTGAAAAGCCACGCGTCGGCAGTGCTCCTGCTGCTGGTGAAGGGGGCAAGTTGCTAGTTCAAACAGGAACGGAAGCTTCTGATCACTTTGATTTGGTCTTTAGTTGACTTGAAGGAAATATGTTTTTCCTTTTACCCGAAATTTATATTTAAATATAAGAGGATCTTGGTAATTAGTGAAGTTAGTCTGAAGGACAAAGATGGGACCCCTCGAACTACATGTGTAATGTGACCATAACTCCATAGAACACAGATGTTTAATTTTTATTGGAACACTGTTATTGTGATAGGCTTTATCTTCGTAGATTTTAAGGGTTTTGATGGTGGTGTATAATGCTCAGAATTACAGGGTTCTTGGATTTTGTCTATCGTCGATATTCTGAAAGAACTAGACCTTCATTTTCGCCTCAAATTATTGCATAAATAGTTAACATAACACGCGGGCACTGAACAGGTTTAAGTGTCAGAAACCCTTTAGATTTGTAATTGTCAGCTAATAGCTTTTAATATCATCGAATTTCTGACCATCTTGCCTGAAGTCCTTCGAGATCATCCTCAGTCTCTCAGAAGAATATTTTTATACGGATGTCTTATTTCAAATTATGAACATCTTCCCAGCACACAGTGCCTGCAATTGGAATAGCATCACTAAATTCCCCAAGAAGTATATAATATACGTAATATATCTCGAGCAGGTCACGGTAGCCAAGGGGTCCAAGGCATGAACTGTTTTCGCTCGATCGGAAGCCAGGACCGTGGGTTCGAATCGCACACAAGGCATGGATGTCTGATGTGTGTCTGCGTTTATTCTGTGTTTGTGTAGGTAGCGGCTTTGCGACGGGCTGATAACCCGTCCATCTGCAAAATGATCATGAAACTAAGAAATCAGCCGTATGCTCCAAAATTGGGAGCAAGGGGAGAGAAAAAATACCTCGAATAAAGGAGCCGAGGTAACGCAGTCGGTATAGCGACTGGCTACTGGCTGGACGACCGAAGGGTTGGAGTTCGATTCCTGGTAGAGCCAAGAATTTGCTTCTCCACGTCATCCAAACCGGTTCTGGGGATCACCCGGCATCCTATCCAGTGGATACCAGGGTTAAATAGGCCGGGACTTGAGGCTGACCGCTCCCAACAAGTGCAGAGGTCGAGAAAACGTGAATCTGTACATCCATTCCCCCATACGTCTTCAGGGTATTGTGCTTAATTAGTTAAGCGCGGAGACAACTTTACTTTTACCTGTATCTCGAATAAAAGTTGGGCTTATCATATTTAGCGAGCAATCCACTGTTTTAATTTTCACAGCTTTTTTTGTGACTGATGGATGCGAGAACAGTAAGTGTGGGTTCGTTCGAAAGGCTATTCAGTGACCCTCTGTCAGCTGCGGACATTACGTAGAGGCGAATAATTGTGAATAATCATGAGTGGTGAGTGAGAAGAAATCAGGGCTATCTAGATTGAAACCGGGTAATTCAAAATCTGAGTTACACGTATTAAAGCGCGACTGAACATTTAGCCATCACAGTAATAGAATATAAACATGTAATTCATGTTTATACAGAACATGAAAACATCGGAGATAAATGACAGAAGGGTTACAGGCTCCTTTGCTGAAGATTTAATGTTGACGCCCCCCTCCCCCCCTTCATTAGGATATAACAGTTATATACTCGCTTCTGTTAAAGGTATGTCACACAACAAGAGGACGGTGTGATCTGGTGAAAAAAAAAAACATTTTTCGCCGCCGTTTCACTGCACTGCACTGAATTGGTTTGCTTATGTTGCAAATACCTACTGTTACAAAATTATTTATCGCACTGCAGAAGTTCGAAATTATTTTTCTATCCATTTAAAAATACGACCATTTCGAAATGAAAGTTATAGAAATTAATAACTTCTCTGCCTTTGCATCATCTAAAAAATATTTCATGCGAAAGCCGATTTTGAGAAGACCCGTAAAGTTCGATTCATTCTTCATGTAAAGGAGGGTGTTTTTACGGGCATGCACGAAAATAAAATTCGACCGAGTATATTTATTCTATTTCCAGATACCAGATTCTATCAGTAGCTTCTGAGGTCGAACCTATACACGAAAAGACAAGGTCTTACACTACGCATCCACGATATTTACTTCGTGCAAGGATCTCATTTCGGGAACAAAAGCCGTGCCACCAGAACACGGAAGGAGACACGAGGCAACTGGAAGTATGTGGAAGCAGTTGAGGAAGTCAGTATGGGGATCTGCGCTGCTGATCGGAAATAAATAATTTCAATTAGGAATGATGTTAATAGTGCCGGAATATTAGACGAATTTGTATATCGTTGACAAAAGTGAGGTTCTTGCAGAAGTTGCGTCCCTTCTGTAAATAGGAACGTTAACTGATTACTTATAGTTACCTTGATAACTCTTTTTTTTTTCCTTGGCACTACAGCCCCAGTGGGCCTAGGCCTGCCTCCATGAACTCCGTTCACTTCGGTTTTTCTAGATCTTACACATTCGGTAGGACTCCTTGGGCGGGTGATCAGCTCGTCGCAAGGCCTCTACCTGTAGACAAACACAGAAAAACGCACACAAACATCCATGCCCTGAGTGGGATTCGAACGCACGATCCCGGCTTCCAAGCGAGCGAAGACAGTGCATGCCTTAGACCGCTCAGCTACCGTGACCGGCGCCTTCATAACTCTTACTCTTTCCAAATAGTAACGTAAGTTCATGACGCTTGTCATTTAGTTGGGTTGATTCTGTGGCATTAAGTCGATGCCAGGATATATGTCACATTTCAATTTAAAAATTGCCTTTACAGTTTCGTACAAAATTATACTAGGGAGTTATGTTCGGCAGTAAGTATTTCAGACAGCCTACATTCAACGCCTGTATACACGTATTTCGGAGTTTTAATGGAACTTTTCAGTTATGCAAATTACTTTGAGATTCTACAAGCAGATAGTTTTTGTTCCCTGGAGTTCTAATGGGATCTGTCACAAAGTCGGTCACCCATTTAGACAAGTAGTTAGAGGAACTAATAGCGACCAGAAGAGGTCGAAAGAAAAATGTCAACGAGAAAGAATCGGTAGAATTCCGCACTAAGCTGCTAAATATGTGGGTGGGCACTACGAAGCTCCTACATAGCGATGCCTCAATAAGGATGTGCCAGTCTCACAAAACAATGTTCAGTACTGTCCCAGGGTATCAGACATTGTCGGCGTGGTTATTCAATATGAAATATCTGGCGCTGTCACGTTGATATTTCTTGATGTGTGAACATTCTAGTAACCCAGGCCGGATACTGGCAAAGTGCCCAGCTTCAACCAGCTTATTGCGTAACTGGACCAAGCTCCCGCACAGTTGGGGCCAACGGAAGTCTGCTTCTCCAAATATTTATACATGTTCCAAACTGAATGATTTCGACCTAAATCTGTCGGTGACAACAGGGCTATTAGGAGCCACGTTATTTCGAAACACGGTTTACAAAAATTCATTGGATGTTACATTTCCGTTTCTGGCAGCATTTCAGATAATTGATTGCGCTTCACGGCACATTACAGGCATTACTTCTACGGGAAGGAAAACATTGTTATAAGTGAGCTGGCTTTGCTTGTCTCGCGGTCTCTGACAGCAGGGACACTGAAATCGCAGGTTTGAACCCCGCCTGGGGTTCGAAATGCTCATTTGTTACGTGTATGTAAGGAATTTGCGATGGTCTGATCTCCATCTTACGGCAAAGAAATTCTCATGTCTAAGACAGAAAAATTCCTGCAACCGACAACACCTACTTGAAATAAATATAGGGTCAAAATTATCAAGCTAATGGGGATAACCTTTGTTGTCCTATCTAGCTTAACTATAATAACAACCGTCACAGGCGCTACTTTTAACTTTGAGCTCTTGGATGATTACAGACGTGGGGCTAAATCAGTGTTATTAAGAAATTTTTAAAAATAATGTATACAAAGAAAGCCATCAAATCATAATATAATGAATCCGAGACAACCGCAAGCTGAAAATTTATACGTTTACATCGAAACAGTGAAAATGTAAACATTTAATAATTTCTTTAAAAAATTATGGGTTATATAAACTTGCTGATGTTATCTCTAAATATTTCATAAATAGCAATTCAAAACCGTACAGAATATTCAATGTGTCTTTTTGCATGCTTAAGACTTTTTTTCTACTAATACGTAGAACAAGTAGTTCTACTGTGAGTTTCTTTTGGCTATTTTAAGAGCCGGTCAGTAGCTAAACTTCACAAAGACGAGCTGTAGGATGAATATAAATCAGAAAGGATATGACAGGAAACAATCGTGGTCTAGTCGAGGCACTATCCCGGAACTGGCTTGGAGAGACTGGGGAGAAACACGAAACTCCTTAGTTAGGATAACCGGTGTCCCGACCGAGCACTTCACGGAGTACGTCAACAGTGTTAGCCATACCCCAACACCATAACCACTATTTATATTTCGCATCAATTTCACCCTCAGTTTTCTCAATAACACAACGGGAACACAATAATATTACTAAGAATGGGCACATTGCTGTTTCATATATGCTTACTGAAGGTCTACTAGTGACGTCAGAAAGGAATTTAGAAGTATAATCTAATCGACTTATAGTTTATTTATGTTTAATACGAGTTTATAGAATTACTACGAAGAACTGAAGAAAGGTTTTGCTTGTTCTGACACAGGATTAGAGTTCATTAATTTATTTTTAAGTGTGAGATATTTTCTTGGTGAAAATGTAGGTTTCGGAACACACATTCAATGTTAACATTCGAATTTCGATGTCCAATTGGAATGCGTGACTTCAGATATTTCAAGCTGTTTGCAAAATGTGACGTTTATGAGATTACAAGACTGGCTGCTGCTGGCATCGCTGCAAGGAGTCTGCTGCTTTTAACAATGCTCGCCATCTGTGAATGTCTAATTACGTTCTCTCTATGTTTACATTGGCTGGTGTAAATAATTCAGTACTTACAAATTGCTTGAGCACAGTAAAGTTTTATATCATGATTTATGCTTACTGTTTTGAACAATACTACTTTCTTGTTCCTTGCTGCATTTTCTAATTGTTACTAATCTACAACACAGTTAAGTTTTGCAGTATCATGATATTGTCAAGCATATTAATAATAATGTAAATTTATTTTCATATTACTTTACTGTAAGCTTTTTAAAGGCTTAACTAAGGATTTCCTGTGAATTTAGGTTAATACTATTATGCTCTATGATGTATATTTGTAGCTGAATGTAGAAGTTCTGTGAAGAAACGTTCAAGTAGATCTAAATAAACAGACCGATTATGTTTCTTCACCTGTTTTTTATTCTAGTTAGTAGGACAATTTAAATTAACTGACGATAACAGGCTGGTTGGTCTAGAAGTAAACGCAGAGAAAAGCAAATATATTTTCATTTGTATCACAGTGACGAAAGACGGGATTTCGATTCGTAATTGGATTTATTGGATACTCACAGGTCATAACTACAAATAATTATGACACTCTTCCTGATTTTCACATTACAAAGTACTCCACGCTAATTTCTTCGGTCTATCTACACTATTCTTCACGGATTTATAACACAGGAAATCTAAAAGTCTCCCTAAATCACATACTCCCAATATCACTGCACTATAGCACACATAAAGTCTTCAAATCACACGTTAAATCTTCACAGGCCGACTTCTCGTACTTTTCTGTACTCCTTGAGCTTACTGCTTGCTTGCTTCTTCGCGTGCTTCTGCTGCTACTCCTATTCGCAACTGCCTTGAATTTATTGTCATTCTTACTTATAAATCCGCGGAACGGACATGCACCTACATTAAACACATATCACGTGATCGCTTTCCAGCCAGTCTATTGGCGCATCGGATGGGTCTACAGAAAACACAGCTTCCTCTAATGTTGCTTGTTGGACCATGTATGCAGAGCTGTTGCCTGGCAACGAGTAGATGAAATCCGTTACAATATGTTGCTGTCTCGTCACCAGAATGCAGGGCGAAATCATGACATAAAGATAGCTAACAGATTCTTTGAAAATGTCTCACAGTTCAGTTATTTTGGAATGACAGTAACAAATCAAAACTTGATTAATTGGGAAATTAAGAGGAGACTGTAGGGTGGTGTGCACTAGATTAAAGTGGCTCAGGATAGGGACCCGTGGAAGGGCCTTGTGAACACCGTAGTAAACCTGCGGTTTCTATAAAATCCTGAGAAGTTCTTAAGTACTGTAGTTGCGTGACTGGCGGCTTCTCAAGGAGTTAGTTAGTTAGTTAGTTAGTTAGTTGGGTCTATTTAAAGTTGATGTCAATGTCAATATCAGCATTATCTGATCTCGCCTAGTATTTCTATGATGTGTGTTTGGTTTGTATCTGGGTTTTAGAACGCCAAGGAATTTGCACTAATAAGGTATGTTGCATCCCACGTGTGCCTTATTAAACGAAAACAGGTTTTCTACTAATCCATAACGTAATACTCATTTGTCACTGAAATGCATGATATTATCGGGGTTGGCATCCCCCTAGCATATCATAAGTTCTGCAAAGACGAAACCTAAATCAAAGAGTCTCTTATCTGAAATATCCCTTTCCAGACTTCAATTAAGGACTTTAATTCCGAGTATCATAGTGACTGGAGCTTTTTCTCTTTTAGGCATGCTCTATGGCTGCCGCAGAAATATATTCACGCTCCGATATTTCGAAATTAAGTCAGTCACGAAACTGCCTCAAGATAATCTTTTTTTTTTTCGGTTTCTTGGGGTGGGGTGAGACTGAGTCCACTTGATACATCGGCCACTAACTGGCCTATTGTACCAGTCCCGGATGATAGATGATGAGTGTGGAGCAGTCGGTGGAATGAGAATTGGCAGGGGAAACTGAAGTTCTCGGAGAAAACCTACCCCAGTGCCACTTTGTCCACCACAAACCCCACATGACCTGACCTGGGCTCGAATCCGGGTCGCCGTGGTTGGAACTCGGCGACTGACCACCTGAGCTATGGCACTGCTCTAAGAGAATCTAGGTTTACATTAAATTTGCATATTTATGGTGATTAAATAAATGAAATGTGTTATTATAATTAAATTATTATTTATTCTATATATTAAACATGAATGGAATTACCATAACAGTTTATTTCACATTATGAGGAAGAAACCTTCCATTTAATATGTGACGTAGCATTTTATATTACGATCCCAGAAAAACATTCCGAATTGAAGGTCTCCTTCGTCACCAAAATAAGGCATCTCAATAAACAATCATACCCATAAGATCCTTATTTTATGCAGGATTTGAAAATTGTTAGTATTTAAAGTAACATTTGGTGTTTTCAATCGCTGTATAATGTATATGCATAACGAAGCACAGTTTACTGGATAAAAACACGTCTAATTTTTTGCAAAATTTGTCGATACTGAGAACCATCACTAAATTTGTAGCTGTGCAAAGAAGAAAGAAAATATTGCAGTTCTTCGAAATGCATTTCAAGGTGACAATGCAACCAGTTTCAGAACTCTTCAGTTTGGCAATTTCTTCAAGTAGCTCTAATAGATTGGAATATTCATATCTCAGATGTCTTCACTATTTTACATTTTATGCAGCTGTAGATCACGAACCAACTACTTCTGAAGGCCTTCTGTATATGCTGCAGAACTATGTATTTTCAAATGACATGATATGATGGTGCAGGGTGAGCTGCGATTCACTCTCCTTCCATTTTCCTGGAAGGGACGTGTCTTTGCAAGCAGCATGATATGCCTCCTGCTCCCCGCAGGCTCAGACCTTCCATCACTCCATCCCGTTCGTCGCTCACAAACGTCTGACCGGGGTGACCCCTCCCGCTCACACGGTCCGTGTGCGGCCCTCTATCATCCTTGCAGAGATTGACCGCATCAACCACAAAGTCCGGCCATCGCTCGCCTACCAGCCCGCCGAGGACTTCCTCAACTCACGCTCCGTCGTGGTAAGTGCATGGTTACGGCGAAACTAGTCTGCGCTTTCCGAATCAATAGGCAACCCGCAATCTTTTTTACATGGACAGATGTGTTTTTCGTTACCTTTGCCGTTCGCTATCCAGGTATGTAATTCACTGCTTGAAAAGCGACATTAAGAATTTATTGGTTGTAGATATTCATATCACACACACAGACAACGATTATTTGATGGAGGGATTTATTTCTATTGACTGACTTGGGTAAGATGTGATTCACCGACCAGAATATATTCAACGTTCACCTGGTTCGTGTAAGATAAAATTTACTCGGGAGGTACGAAACCTCCACCACGGCGCAACATTCTGTTCTCCACAATTATAAGAATGCGGAAAATATCGCTAACATTTCCAGTCGGGAATACTAAATACTAAGTCCTTCTGGGGTTAGAATTGCCAATGAGACGCGTGTAATAGCAAACAATAATGACAAGCGAACAAGCAAGATATTTCCAAACGACTGAAATCTCATGAAAATGGCCTGGTGCAAATTCATGCTGCTCAGTAAAACTTAAAATTATTTGAACAGACTGAACACTGCTCAGAGTGCTACCACATTTCAGTGAGATGTTGAAAGTACCTAAAAACAAGAGGTTCCGGGAAGAACCAGTCGCCTACTTTTTTTGATACGATATGGACCGCATATAAAACGACACGTCCAACAATAATGTTATTGTTGCGTGTGTATCCGTTGCCGCGGTAACGTTTTTACTAAGCTGTTGCATAACAAGGGCAACATAGACACGGACTGATGGGAGGGGTTTATGAAGTACACTTTTGAGATGGACTTACTAAGTTAAATAAAGATTGGTTCCTCTAGTCAGGCGTTGCTAGAAGGGCGAAACAGGCACACAGTCAGCATGGTGATCGCATAATTTTGCTCCTATTTTTTTCTTAAAATTATGGTCAGTGTGCTAAAAAAGAAATTATCTATTCTAGGAGGCAACTGCAGACTCTTCATAACAATAGATATATGTCTACTTGAATAAACAAATTCTAGGGATGCTCTCGTATACAAACACTATGCATATATATAAAACATAAACTAACCCTGTTATTCTCGTAAGAAATGGTCACCTACTATGAAACAGTCACTGAGAAGCACTGCTTTATATAATCTACATTTGCAGATATATTGCAACCATTATTCCCAGGCGCCTTGCACAGGTTACAAAGGTAAGTAATTAGTTAATAACTACAATCTGCGTTCTCCAGGCGTGTGTGGCACAACATTTGCTCTCTGTCACTTGGCGATCGTGTGCATTGTCTGGAGCAGGTCTGTATTGGCCAAGACATCACTAAAGAACATTGCAACACTAGATTGCATGTACTTTGCCTGCAGTCAATGAAAATGAGCTCAAGAATGAGTCAACTAATATGAGATGATGCGAATAGTCTTCCGATCAGTGAATGCTGCAAAGAGCACGTTTTTAAAGAAATTGTGCAACATGTATTCTGCCACATGGCGCACACATTTCTTCTAAAGAGCTCATAATTATTTATAAATTTGATTCTTTACAAATTTAAGCTCGATAGAGGGAGACCTTTCGAGACAGAAGAGTTGAAGGATATAATGGAAAGGTTTTCCGTATAAACAATTTACTTTTCCTATAAGATCATACGTGTTAAGAATCTCTAATCTGAAATAAATTAAAAGCTTTCGAATGATATCCTCCCTTGAAGAAACACAATTTATTTGACTAAATATGTACGGGTTGGAAATAACTACATTAAATATTGAACATAAAATTGTGAAAAAGAATACTTTGGACATATGCATAAATTTAATTTTCACCGAATAACAATAACGAATATAAATGTGGTTCAAGACAAACATTATTATTATTATTATTATTATTATTATTAAAATTAAAACAATTAACTTGATTTTCAGTTTTGTGTGTGTTTTTTCTTTCTTATTGGGTTTGGGTTGTTAAATGAGCACATATTCGTAAGTAAATAAGAATTGAATTATGCTACGTGACCAACCACTGCTGATGCATGCTCGATAATTAGACAGTACCAGTTATAGTGCACTACAAGAAATATTGCACTTCTGTTACCCCACTAAGATACTGTTAAGTTAGTCTTTTATGTTGCCTGCGAAACTCAACACTGAACAAGGTTTTACAAGTATGCAAGATTCATTTAACAGATATTGTCCAAAGAACGCTTTACGAACGGCATGATGACATCGCTGCTATTCGGATTACTTAATGAGAAAAGCACATGCAGAAGCAAGTGATATTTTATAATTCCTTAAGTCTTATTTCAGTTAAACTCTATAATTAAGAAAATTACGAAATAGTCCTTAGCTACAAATACTCGTATTAAATCCACAAGCAACTGTTCACTAACAGCTGATACAAATGTATTCAAATTGCCGAAAATGAAAATGATATTGTGTACTGACCTGAAAAACGCTCATGAACCGTACCAGCGGGGGAGCAGAGACTGGCAGACTGTGGTAAAGTCCCAAATACTCTAAGTGCACGTGTTATACAAAGAAGATGGGTGCTGAACAATGTTCTTATCGAGAATAAGAAACTTCGGCAATCTTCTTGAATAATCGCAAGACCACTGTTGATTTCTGAATTCACAATTTCGAAAGTACTCATAGCGCCACTTTTGTTCAGCTATGTCGAAAATTGTAAGATCCGCGGGAGAAGTATACTAAATTATAAACATACTTTATTTCTCCTTGCTGTTTTGTTCGAAAGCATTTTCTTTGTGATGAATATATAACAAGTTAACGCTGCAGACGCATAATATATGCACATAGAGATCTTCATATGGGTCCGTTTGTTTTGTTCAATTTTGACAAAATTTAAAATATATTGACACAATCTTTAGAACTGAATAATATAAAATTCGTTTCGCGGTTCTCCATTTTTCCCTTAGAACAGTGGGACTGGGAGACGGAGCTCTGCAGGGTTGTCAACGCGCCAACAAATGAGCAGAAATAATTGAAATGAAACTTGGCCGCTTACTATGAGAGAACAATAAGAACAGGAAGTTTTCAAAAACATATTTGTAAAAAGAAAATCTGGCTTAAAGGTGAGACACGTGAACTGATGAATCCCAATAAATCGCGGAGGGTAAAGTGCCCACGGGAATAACAATATAAACTGATCAATTTTAGCATAAATCTCTTGAGTACATATCAATTCAGGACCGAAGAGAGAGGACAATCGACGCTTCTCTCGAATCAATTAATATAATTTAGTTTCATGACAATTTTGTGGTCGTAATATTCAGTGCATAACATTAAGAAACTCTGAATAATGCCGTCTTCTGGGATGTGGCTCCGTGTAAATCTTATGTGAATCGACGTTTCGGAGGAACGTATTGCCTCCATCTTCAGGGTAGAAAAATCAGCGAGCGAGGAACCAGCGTGAGTAGGTGGCTGCAGACTCCAGAGTGTTCAAAGCTGCAGAATGTAGAATGAAGTAATATGTGGGAACTGCATGTACCGGTATATTTCTAATCAAATGTAGCCTTTTATACAGCGGCTAAATTACGTCAATGCAGTCATGAAATATTATACTGTATTTATACATATTTGATTCTCCTATTGCTAATAATGACGATGGGAGTTTTCAAGTGTTCCCTCAAAATTGATGCATTTTTATTTTAGCAGAAACATAGACTAGTAAGTATTCTTACATATACTGCATGTAGTCCTACTTATGTTCAAAGTCGGTACTTTGTTGACACGTAATTTATAAACATATTTAGAAACTGGACTGATTTCAACCAGAGTCTGCATATTTAAAGGTAAGCTGTAATTTATTTTCTCGCGTATTAAAGTAGCCAGTGTTTTGACGTCAGTGATAGGGACACACATGCAGTCTGTCCACAGTTAGAGTGCTCTTAGTTTCCGTCAAGTTTCTGTGTGAACTGTTTCATTTCTGTGAAGTGACTAATGTTCGATTCTGCACCTTTCAGTCGTTTGATGACGAAGCACGTTCGATCAGGGCACAGACGGCAGCGCTTCTGAAGCGGATACATGAACCACTGCCTCGTGCAACCAAGACCTTCCCAATCAGTGTCACCAGGTAACGTGACCGTTTTAATGCTGTTATTTATAGGAATTTTGAGGGTAATACACCCCTTTAAAGTACAGTAAAGAAATGAACAAGTGAGGGTAATATAAAATTGGTGAGGGTGATTGTGGAGCAATTGGTGGAATGAAGATTGGCAGGGGAAACCGAAGTACTCGGAGAAAAGCTGCTCCAGCGCCACATTGTCCACCACAAGTCCCACTTGACCAAAGCCGGGATCAAACCCGGGCCGCCGCGGTGGGAAGCCAGCGACTAACCGCTTGAGCTATGGCGCGGCCAATATATAGGGTTACTACGAGTATATTGGTTGAAAAGGCCTCATTTTCATGAGATTTAGTCATATAGATTGCAATAATTATGATATCAATTAATTGGTGTACAAATTTACAACTCCGAAAACTGACACAAATTGATTTCGAGGCAGACTGCGTAACATTTTGGAAATTAGGCAGGATTTATATTCCCTTTACTGATAAACTGGAACCTTCCGCAGCCCTAGCTTTTATATACAAATAAGAAAGAAGGTAAAATAAATTGTGGTTGAGGTTTCTCATCGCTCGTGTCATTGTCCATTAGCAGATACCGGCATTATGCATAAAGTGTGTCACTGTTGCGTCATCTACACATGATTCATGGTCACATTTCTATCTCAGTTCACGCTTAATAACCACTGAGGATGAAATATTGTCATTAATGTGCTAAGAACCAATCATTCATACAAATCCGTTCACAGACAGCCGTCTCACGAAGGACACAGCAGACATTCCCTGTTCTGTCTGACGCAGGCCTCTTTTGCAGGTACGAGGAGACACCAATTCCTGAACGCATCACTTCTGACGCCTATATATACCGTCTGCTGGGACCGACCCATAACGTGAAGCAAGAGGTTCTCACTATGTCACACTACGACGAGCCTGCCAAGCGACTTATGGGTAAGATACGCAATTTGTATCGTAATGAAAACAAGGAAACTGCTCTGAACAGTGGCGAGCATATCGGTATAGAAGTAAACACGCGGAAAACTAAACGTATGAAGAGAACGCTCTTCCGGGGTATAACGTCAGAATTGTCCGAATTGAAGGTCCCTGCAAAGCAGAAGAGAGAGAGAGAGAGAGAGAATGTTTGTAGAAAATTCTCCAAACTGAACGGCGTTGCAACAAAGAAAACAGTAGCCTTCCTGGACTCTGTCGAGAGTACCTCAAATCCAGCCAACTAAATATACTATACCTTTCATACCGCCATATTGGCTAAATCAGAATAAGAAGCAGCTAACTAGCCCCACTAAGCGAAAGAAACTGATTCAGTCCAAAACGCTGAAGGGAAGAGAGACTTGAAATACCTAGTTGTAAATGAGACGATAATGTTAAAAAGGAAATTAAAGAAACCGGACGGACATATGCGGACTGGATTTGTTAGGTTCTGGATAGGTACCTGGGGCGGCCTTTTGTGAACACATCGGCGAACCTGCCGGTTCTGTAAAAGGCGAACAATTTCCTAACTATATGAACTGTCGGTTCCTTAAGAGGTGCTGAGTAATGGAGTTCGTTAATTAGGAAATCGAATACTGCCCACTTGTTCAGGATGGCGTAGTTAAATATATGTGAACTTTCAGGTAAGGGACATCTGGCGTGCGTCAGCTTCGCTGGAGGACGCGCATTTCCACGGAGGAAGAACCTGTTCTATGATGATGATCGCGTTAAAAATGACGTCCAGTATCTTTCACATTACAAAAAGAACATAGAAGCAGCTGAAAATCCTCAGCAAACGTCGGCTGCAGGTAAGGGGAATCCTCGACTCTTGAGCACGTGACACCCACTGTCACTTCTGCGCAGCGTGGCTTCACGGGCTCTGTCGTATTTCCGATGCATGTGATACACCAGTACCCTGAGATATGGGCGGCCTCCTTCACCGTGAATCTGAATTGAGTCTCTCGAGACTCAAGGTCACTTCGCACTTGTTGCAGTAGGTGAACACAAAATGGAGAGGTCATGTCCGTCTGTCCAATTGCTCTTCCCGATGTTTGGTCTCCCTGATAATTTAACGTGTTTCAAACAAATTTTGTATTGAGCGTAAATACTAATCAGTATGGAATTTAATTTTCCTCTGTCCAATATTTTACACGAAGCTCAAATCTAATGTTACTTAACTTCTTAAGAAAAAATGTATGCTATCAAATCTCATATTTCATAAGCAATTTTTCAGCATAAGATTACTTAACAAAATATAAAAACAAAATATTTGTGCACATTCACGTCTGAAATGGCTACTATACGTTCAACTGTCCACAGTTATAAGTGAAAAGCAAATCAATTCGCAATGGGTGAATTTGGAAATTTGGGACTCTGGATTGGAGTACGTCTTTCCGTTCTACGTTTCCTACATCCGAAAGCGAAGAAGAGAATATAAATTCATTTCTTTATGTAATAAAAATCAAAATTCGTATGTGAATATGCAACCTGGGGGACCGCAGCTTTTTATTTGCATAGCTTCCTGTCAGAACTATGCATCACTCACAGGTTAGTACCCCCCCATTTATAATTTTAAGATTTCCAGAATATATGGAACAAAAATTTACGTCGAATGATGCAACATCACGAACTACAGAAGCCTCATTCATTTGGCTTCACAGTATAAGAGCGAAAGTGACAGTTGTCGGACGTCACCAGTTACGGTTTATGTTTCTAGTATTTATAAGCCTTAATTTTAAGTGTGCTCTGATGTTCGTTTGTAATTTAACAAGACCAGTTACAGATTTCTTAGAAACTATTTTAATCTAGCCAACATATGCTCAGAGTTCTTCCACATTTCACTGCAATATTCGGAGAGTTAGAAGTTCTGACATTTTCAGATATCAAGAAATCGCTCCTTATACGATGCTCTGAACCACAATTTTATACGCTTTATTCGACTGTACATAACTGCAATGAGAAATATTGCCTGTAAATAAAGATCACTAAATTATTAATTTATTTGCACTATTCTGAGGATGTAGGGGCTTCGTTTCGCAGTACCTACTGGCATCTCATACCTGCTTACTCACCGTGTTCTGTTGACTTCTATTTGGGGGAAACTACTTAATTGAAGATTCGTTTCTGAACCACTGCAGAGACAATATGGAACAAGAATTGAGACATTTGCCAGTGGGGGAAGTTAGTAGGTTTTCTCTCTAAACATGAAGAATTAGTGTCAGGCCTTTCATTGCGGAAAGCACTACATTTCTTCAATGGACTTCTCCGACGAAGAGTTTAAGAAATACTGACAGTTTATATGTGCATCTGATAATTCAATCTACCGCTCCCGTATTCTTGTGCGTAAATATGCATAGTATATTAGCCCCTGCCCAAACTGTACGATGTAGTGTCTCTGTTTTACTCTTCTTAGCTAAAAGGTGGATATCCGTCGATATTGGGGAAATAAATTTCAAGAGTAACCGCAATGTTCATTTCCGAGGAAATAAAAACATGGCGTTGAACACAATATATATTCATTTCACACAATGTACACGTATTTGTAATTCATCCTATAAAGTAAAAACATACTTTCTATAATGGACAAATTTGAAATGTGCAATGGATATATGCATTTCTCAGTACTAATGTGATTCTAGAGCATCAGAAGCTCTGTATATCCACATGCTCATATTGCTTTTCCCTGCAGCTTCTAAAATATTTGATATCACTCAGCCTCTAACAGAAATGAGTACCAGGAATCTTCCTGTGGTTAAAAAACGGCCGGTGCGTAAGGCTGACAACCTTACTGCCATCTCTTAGTCGATTATCTAGAAAATATGGGAGCCTCGACGTCTCATAATCCCATGAGCCTCCACGGCCTGTTACAGGGATAGCTTTGCCTTTACCGTAAAGCAGATTTTGAACTGAAATGTAATTCATACGCCCTGACGAAAGCTGGATATAAACGATTATTTCTCCGTTCATGTTTGAGTTAGAAAGTCCTTTCGTCCGGAAATAGAGTTATCCTTAGGGTCCACCAGGTTTATATATATTGTAGCGTGTTTTGTGTGTCACACTACAAATAAATTGACGCCGTCGTATTTGGTATAGCGAATTTATTCCGCTCGCTCACACCTTACAATCATTACCACTTGCATTGTTACAAATACTGCTTACAATAACTCGGCCGACACTGGACTGTCCTCTCTGGCGGTTGTTCCAAGACTGACTGTGCGAATGCATTCAACCCCGCTATATAACCTTGGTCGCTGCTATGCAACGAACCCTTTGCTATAACCATGGAGTCTCCTGTTTGAACTACAATAGAGCGATTGTTGTTTCCTATGCAACGGTCTGTTCTAGCGTTTCCATAGAAGTGACTCTTCTGGATTCCAGACACGTTACAATATATATTTCTTTTTAATAAACGTAAAAGTATATGTGATTCAATGCTACAGCTTTTTCTAAAGAGAACGGAACTCACTTAAAATTGTTTTCTAATAATATATTGATTTCAGATTCTTCATATGTTCGTAGATAAGTTAGTTGGTAACGTAAATTAATTCAAATATCGATAGATGTATAAAATAATTTGCGTAGTACGGTATTTAAAAATACAAGAACTATGAAAATTATGTCATACATTGAAACATTAAATTTACATATCCCAGTCCTTCGATATACTTCTAGTTAATGTAATGTATCATCAAGTCTCTTTATTTGAAGTACTTGTCACCAACATGCACTGTTGTTATAATCTAAAGAGACATTTACCAAACGCAACATAACTGAGTATCAGTACAAGGGCTTCAAATCTCATGACCTTAATACAAAATTTGGCAAATGATATAAAGAACGAAAATGGCTGTTTTTGCAGTACGAAAATGATGAGGCTGTGGAAGAACTCGAGTGTGGTGCTAGTGATCTGTGTTCTGTGAATAACTTGTTCCTTTTCCTTCCAGGAACAGATGAACAAGCCTAAAACATTGGTGTGCAGCTCTCGTTCCTCTCCACGTATTCACAATACACTTGTTGTTTTCTGTTCTTCTGTTACACTATCTTTTTCCTTCACTCTTTCAGAAAGTTATTTATGTTTTATATGTTTTCCTATATATCATACTTAGTTTTATTTCGTGTAATACAAACTAATCACAATATAGTTTTACACGTATCCTGCTTTATTATGGAAGGACATTGACGATTGACAGTCATCTTTGTTTCATGTATACAATTTTGTATTTAGAAATAAATGTTGCTTGATTTCTGCTATAATTTTGCTCCGTGTTAATGTATTATCCCTGGCGGGTCGGGTAAACCTTCATTTCAAGTAACATTACCTGTAATAGGCGGATGGTGATTTTTACATGTCCTGAAATTTATCCTTACACAAGAATCCGTTCTCACCCCTGCCTCTGTTTGTCATTTTCTTTTAAATTTAGAAAGAGCATGCTCATGCATTTTGTTTTACTTTTCCCTGCCTCGGAAGCTCTAGAAATGGTTTTATTTTTATATATTAGATGCAGCATGGGCGTGCTATTTTGTTTAGAGATTTACACTTAAAATCTTCGTCATATAACTGGTGTACACCCACATGAAACTTTTTGCCAGCTGAATCAGAAGTGTGAAATTTTCCATTAATTAGAAACTAATAAAATCATGAACTCATCCAATATTCCTGAAAGAAACTTTAATGTTGTTTAGGGTGTAAAAATTAATTTGCCTCCTAATTTATTTTGCTCGAATGTGTAGGGTATTTTAAAACAGGAAAAGAACTTGAAGGTTCTTTAAAAACATTCTGAAAAACTCTTTTCATTAATAGCGTTTAATGCATTATCACAGCGCATTACTTTGTAATATACACTCTAAAATGAATTTCAGTCTGACATTGATATGTATATGAACCTGTTCAGTTGCATTTTGGAAGGGGTGTGCATAATCCTTGATGCAACAATGTATTTCAGTTAACACTTCATCTAACTTTAACAGCAGAGTATAAATTAAAGCAAACAGACTACACTATTAATTATACGCCTTCTGTATAAACGCACACATCTTTATACATAGCGACAAAGCGACTGTTAGGAACAGCACACCCCAATCCGAGAAGCCGTTTCACCCACCCCCACACAATCATGAACAAGCAGTTACTCATATTAAAATCAGTCATCTGAGAGCGGCGAGGAGAGAGAGTTCTGGCGGCCGACCAGATTTCTTAGTGTAAGTATGCATACAGTTTTAGGAATAATTACCATATCAGACTGCTATGTCCAATTTTGCGTAGGCGTAACGTCGTCCTAATATTGCTCTGTGGACTGTCTCTATGCGCTCTTGTGAAGATCTATGCCTCTATATTGCTCTTTATGACTAATGTTGAATATTTATAAATATTTATACAATTGCGTATCTAACTGATGGAGAAAGCATTATCACTTTTCCTGTAAGGTTGACTCCACGCTCACACAGCACGTTATGTACCTGTTACCAAGCGACTTGTACATGAGTACAAATACAATTTTAGCTCTTTAGTCCGCCATAAAATTCTTAACAGTGCCACATTTAATGCAAATAATTACTTAACTCTTCTACATGTAAAGCAGGCCTGCTAAAATGTATTCATATAAGCATAGTGTCAATTAATCCAAAGTAACCGATATCAGACCAGTGAAATATTTGCGATTCTCACATTTCTGAAACGAATGTGTGAAGCATGGCTGTACCTACATCTAGCAACCGTAACTGGAGAGCAGATGAAAACCGACTTTAGCAATATGTTTGCCGTTCAATATGAATGCGCAAAGGGAAGAAATCGAAAGAACATCTAGTTTCGAATTTTAAAACTTCCTGTTGAACACCCACTTTGAAAGTGGCCCAGAATATACAGAGTACAAGTCTCATTTTCTGCATAACCGAATACTGCTGTCAGTCAGTACACACTGTAAACTCACTACATATTAAGTTTCATAAAAGCAAATCTTTTAAAAATAATACGTACTCTAAGGGATCCACTCTTGCAGTGGCCACTGGACAGTGAATAAGAGCAATAAGGGGTGATGTATCTAAGCTATTGCGATAAAGTGTAACTCGTAAATGTTAACTCCCTTACATTAAAATCATCAAGAAAATATCCCATAGGACTTTTCAATTTACAGAATGCATTTTGTTGCATGTATAAGCACGGCTAGCTTGATGTTACGTCTGCGCTTCAGAACTGATAAATTGTTTTGCATGTGCAGCTTCGTCTTCTGGAACCTGTTTCCTTGGCCTCAGCTGAAGAGATTTCTCTTACAGGCATCGCGATAAGGAAACCATATGAAACCTTACAAATCAACTGGCAAGGAATGTGTAAATAGATTCTTGTTTCTGCCTTGAATGATTGAACACAATTTTATAAGACACATGCAGACTGTAAGGAACGTTCTACATGTGGATGACAGGAAGTGCAGGTGTGGAAACTGAAAGGGACAAGCGGAGGTTTGCTGGAGAAATATTCGAAGAGATTATTGTAACTACGGACGTTCCTCATGATGCATTATAGTTGTGTAGAATTAGAGTTATGATAAGATACTGCAACAGAAGAGAATTATAGAACATAAGAATCATAAGTCTATTAAGGTAAACAATGAAATAATTAACGGTGAAGAATTGGGGGGGGGGCTGATATCTCTGTTCTGTTCAAGTTCCAAAATAGAAGAGTTTGGCTTACAGTGCAGCTTTAGGAGCACGAAATGCAAAGCATATTATTGTGGCACTGGAAACAGTCCGTAGCTCTGATACTGAAGTCAGAATATTATTGTAACATTGAAAGCAGCACATTATGGCTGCATTAAAATATCATTTGATGAATAAAAATCAAATGTTTGGAAAATATGAAGCGCAATAGATTAGGACGAGGGACGGAAAATGCCAAGGCACATGATACAAGCAGTTTACAGTCTTAATACTACCAGTCTATTTCAACCATGTGAAGTGGGCCCTTTATCACGACTTCAATGGGCATTCTCGGATACCGGTATGAGGAGACGCTATTTAGATACAGCGGGTAGCTGCGACAATCCTGAGTAAGCAGTCACAGACACATGACAATAATTTGTCCTCAACTATGGGGACTGAACCATTGAACATAAGAATTCAGCTTGTTACATAATGATATTTAGGGCTTAAACTTTTCTGTTGCTTTCTCACGAAATCTTCAGCTCCAGGCGTTGGTTAATTACTTACACTCTGTTACTACGAGTATTACAGTGAAAGTAAACTTGCCGTACATAAGATTTCTGCACTTTGTCTGCCCGAATTATATTGTAACTTACGTTAACTGTTATGCAAAAGGACAAGAAGCGGCGTGCTTTACTGCATAACAGCGCTTCTTGCAGACAGGAATTGTCTCCTTCTGAGGTAAGGTAAAGCTGTAAAGTCTGTGTCACTAGACGGACGTGATTTCTCAACTTCACGTCCCTGCCGCTTCAACTCTGGCGAAAGTGCCCCCGGTACTCACTGGACAGGCAAAATTTAAAAACCGAGCAATGTCATTTTCATTAAAATCACGGGACACAATATTACAACTGGCAATTTAAGCAAATGTATGATGCCGAAAGAACGTGTACCTGAAGACTGTAAACATGAGATGTAGTCACATCTTTAGAAACGTCTCTAGATTATGATTCAACTCTGGATATCCATTTGAGATAAGCAAATGAAGCCGGCCTCTCTACTCACATCCTGTTGCTTTCAGCACTGTCTGCAGACTGGTACCGCAACGCGGCCGCGTACATCTCCCCGCCCAGGTCTAGACCCATCAGCCGGTTCTACAGGCCCACTTTCGTCCCAGATGAAAATCTGTCGGTAAGGAAACCATTCATACTGGAAGTTGTCAAACGTTGCCATATTTGTATCGTTCAACACAGAAAAATATATTTCGATCATAAATTTTGCATTTCTGTATTATATATTATCATAGGATTAACAGGCTAAGAATTATGTTAAAATAATTCGTGCAATCGCCTTAGACCGTATTGCTATTTTTCATTTTCCTTACAACGGTAAAACTACATCTCGCAAGAGATTTTACGACCACACATTGAAAGCTCCAGTATTGTTTCTATTTTAAATGCTCGAGTTTTCAAGCTTCACGTTTTTCTTTCGTCATGGTTCACAGAGCGGCCACTTAGTGGATGCGAGGAACAGTCTTAACCTCCCAGTTTGAACGATTAAAATAATACCGTAAAGCAAGTTAGTGAAGCTCAAATTGGATTGATTTTTGATAACTGGACCTAATTAGGGTGTTGACTGGCGACCTGAAGAACTATGATACTAAGTATGTAACACGACTGAAGAGTCTTTAGTAATATACTGGCAGGATTAAACAGCTTACATTTAACATCATAAAAAGGCGGAATTAGAAGCAAATTTGCAGCAATGAAGTCACCCATTGTGATATGTGGGATTTCTAAAGTGACTAAAATTCCTTTTACAATTATATGGCGAAGTGTCGAATCGGTAGAGATTACCGTTATATCGGAGCAGATTGGTGTCCACTTCATCACACTCGAAGAAAATGAGAGCCCCTCACTGAAGGGCGAGATGCCGAATTAAAAATAAATCATAGAGATACGAAAATGCAGGAGGAAACGATGTCTAATTAGGAGTAAGTTTCGGAGGAACATTAAAAATTTATAGAATTTGTAAGGGCAGGAAATTTCTGCAACATGATCTTTTTAATATTTCGACAAAACGTTGATTCTAGATGACTCTGTAACAAAAGTAATTCTTCGTTCAGGAAACTAAATTAAAATGAGCAGTTTTTCTTTTTCAAATAAAATATAATATTACATGAAAAATTTATAGATAAAATTTTCGGCGGATATTGTAACATTTGTGATTCAATATAGCCAAGCTTATTTCATGTGTTTCTGTTTTTGGATATTTGATTCCGGAAGCATCGGAAACTTGAAACTACAACAAACGGGATATATTTTACAATAGTATGAAAATGAATATATACTGTATTCGGATGACTGCTGTAATTCTAACGTTTTCTTTTTTCCACAGTACTACGAACCTCCAGCTTCACCTACCAAAAGGACCGGTTCAACAAGCAGCCAGTCACAGCGATCTGCTGAAACATCTTCTACAGCACGAACTGAGAGACAATCCTCACTCAAAGAAGATGGCTCCGAAGATACTGAAGCCAGAAGTATCCGCAGGAAGAAGAAGAGGCAGGAGGAAGCAAGGTTAGCCGAGCAGAAAGCTTTGGAGGGACAGGCAGAGATAGAAAAGAAGAAAGAGGCAGCTAGAGAAGCCGAACTTGCTAGACAGGAGAAGCTGGCTCAGGAGGCAGCTTTAGAGCGCCAGAAAGAAATTGACAGGAAGGCAGAACTTGCCAGACAAGCCGAGGAGGAGGCCGAGAGACAAGCTGAACTAGAGCGACAGGAAGCTGAACGTAAAGCAGAGGCCGAGAGACAGGCTGAACTAGAGCGCCAGGAAGCTGAGCGTAAAGCAGAGGCCGAGAGACAAGCTGAACTAGAGCGCCAGGAAGCTGAGCGTAAAGCAGAGGCCGAGAGACAAGCTGAACTAGAGCGCCAGGAAGCTGAGCGTAAAGCAGAGGCCGAGAGACAAGCCGAACTAGAAAGACAAGAAGCTGAACGCAAAGCTGAAGAAGAGCGTCAGGCTGAGGTTGAACGCCAAAAAGAACTTGAGCGTCAAGCTGAGATTCAGCGTCAGGAAGAAGAGCTGGCTAAACTCGAAGCCGAGGCTAAGGAAGCTGAAGCTACTTCAGTCGCCGAAGCGACGTCTGAGAGCCTTGCAGAAAAGCAAGAACTTGTGCCAGAAATAGAAGGAAAGGAGGAATCGGAAGAGAAACCAATACAGGAAGAGGAAGTAAAAGCGTCTGAAACTGTGACGATCCCGGGCTCGGAAGAAGAGTCAGGTCCCGAACCTGTAGTGGAGGAGCCCTTGTCACCAGAGACTCACCAGGAACCTACAACAGGTAATATTATAGAGGAGATTCATGACGCAGGTATACCTGAGGAAGAGGAAGAAGAATAATAACAATGTATAGCATTATTGTCTCACGTGTCTGCCCACAAAGAACGAAGGAAGGAAACCATTCCATCGCACAAAAATTCGAGGAGGAGGATGATCGCAGGTGGCCGCACGCAGAATTACAGGGGCAATCACGCAATGAGACAGCTCGTTCAGTGTCCGCCTACACTCACGTTACTGAAATTGAAATCGCGTGATAATGTTTATTTTATTTTACGTTTGAAACTGACATACGTATCTTTCTTCAGCGTGTTGCATGACAAGGTTTATTCCTACGTAGGGTCTTCTGCAGTCTGTAAAGTCTAGTTAAGTACATCTCTGTCCTTTGATGAGATTATCAAATAGCATTGATGTAAATGAAATTACAGGCTAAGTTTACAATAATATATATATATATATCACTGCGTCCTATATACTAGTATGTATATCCTTTCTGACAGAGAGCTCATATTTTGAATCTGATATTTCCTATAGGTAGCAGCAAGTTTGTTGTACCTTCATTATGCATGGTTTTATAATAAGAACTGAAGTTACTGTATATTTACTGATTCGTTTAACTTTATAACATTTCCCAGAGTTCTTTCTACATATAAAATTAATAGAGGATTTACATCAAGTAACGTTTACACCTATTTCATTTCAGAACTCAACAGTTGAAATATGTGGTCTTGATAATATATTTTATTTCGCAAGTTAAAAGAGTGTTCATGTGTATATAATATTGTTCTTATGTATATTATATGAATGAAAACATAAACTATTAAATAAAGTTCCCTCAGCAAAGAGATATGTAAACTACTGTTTCTTAAATATCTCGGAACACTGACCTGGATCTTGCAAGACATATTCTATTATGAATAAATCATTTCAATTTCGATGGTGTTATTTAATCCAGAACAATTTTATCTTTCGAATGTCTGCTGTAATTTACCATTTGTAACAATCTGTCTTCAGTATTATTAATTAACTAGCTGTACCCGGCCACTCATTGCTGTGGCTCAGTGTGGTTAAATGGAAAAGAAAGAAAAGAGAAAGCGCACGTTTCTAATATGTTTAATTTCACAATGCTTGTGGGTATACAATATTTTTTGTTGTTCCATTGTCTTTGCAGATATAGAGATTGACTGGTTTGCCGACTCTAGAACACGCAACATATAATTGTCCATGTGAGAAGCAATCCGTGTCTAGATCTAAGCCGCACAATTCTAAAGATTGGCCCTGAGCTTTGTTGATGGTGAATGCAAACGTCAATCGAACTGGGAATTGCAATCTCTTAAATTGAAATGGCACATCCGTTGGAATCATAGGTATGTGAAGAATGAGGGCATCTTCACCTTTGAAAGGTCATGTCAAGATTGTTGCTTCTACGACGTTGCTCAATAGTTTTTTTACTACAAGCCGCGTGCCGTTGCTAAGCTTTGGCTGGTTGATATTTCGCAACATGATAATTGGCACGCCTATTTTCAATTGCAGTACGTGCGGTGGCATCCCTGGCAGATCGAGTGAATTAAAATATTCTGTTGGATAATTAACCCTTCATCTTCTTCCACAACAGTGTCGACGGACTTGTGTGTGACTGCCTCGCAGTGAATGTTAGACTGAATGATATTGTTAAGTTCGTAGACGTCTTTGTTCTTGGCCGCAAGAATAGCTCGTTCACTCAGCCAATCGTGATTCTTATAATTGGTTTGAATATTGGGAAATACTTTTGCAACCAGTTCTTCTTTTGACGTCACTAAATAGCAGAAGTTATCAGGCAATGAAATTCGTCCTGAGGTCAGATCAACCTGCACATTTCCGTTCCCAATTTCCAGCAATTGATTTGAGAATATCTCAGCTGATCGATCGTTTTGCAGCTGGACACGCATATTTGTAGTTAATTTTAACGTCTGTACGTGTCGCCACAAAGTAGAGTATTTCAGGCAAGCATTTATTTCGTCCGCTGGTGTCAATCGAGGAATTACAGGTGATATTTGCCTGAAATCTCCTGCAAGCAATATTAATGCGTTCCCAAATGGTCTGATGTTTCCACGCAAATATTGCAATGATCGATGAAGAGCCTTGAGCGATTTTTTGTGCGCCAAACAATAAGTTTGCATTTCTGCAATACCTTTCCCATACCTGATGCTTTGGAAATGTTGCACGTGGGAGTTTCAATGAATTGCATGTTCAATGGCAATTTCAAAGCGGAATGAGTAGTTCTTCCACCTGGTAGCAATGTCGCAGCTATTCCGGACGACGCAAAAGCTAAGGCTATGTCATGTTGGGATCGAATTGCTGCCAGAATCAATCTAATTAGGAACGTTTTACCAGTTCCACCTGGCGCATCTAAGATTTCTGCAAGCTCATTATTGACAGTTTGCATTATTTGATCGTAAATGCCTTTTGCTCAGGCGTTAGCTTAGGAATATTTGATTGCACATATGACAAAAATCACCCGTGTTGTAATTTTGTTCACGACGCAATTCTACATTGAAGGAAGCAGCAGCAGATCGATTCGGTGATGGCATTCCCAATTGATTGAGAAATTTGTTCGCGATTTCTAAGCAAAAATCTTCAATCATTATCAACGTTTCGTTGTACATTTCTGCTGTGAAATCCATGTTCATATTGGAATTTTCCTTGCGTATTCGACGGAAAATATCTTCAGCATTGTGCCATGAGCAGGCGGCCAATATGATTGCAAACAATGCACGAATTTGACGTGGATGTGACGTGTTGCACGCGTCAGTAATGCATACATCCCAGTGTCGGTCGTTCTCCAATAAATTCAGAGCTTGACATGCACTGCGGAAAGTGGAATATGTAACGCCGTTGACAATTCTCAATTGCTGGAAAGACGTTGGACCGGGCACACTTACCAACAGAATGCGAAGAAAGAAGCATTCATCTTGATTGGGATGCACGGTGTACAGTCTGCCTATCGTAGTTTCTTTGAATATGCCAGTTTGCCATCTACTCTTGCAGTTGGGAAACGATGGACCTTTCTATGCCGGTAGAAATTCTACAGCGTGCATTCAATTCATCATTGCCATCGCCGAAAAAATACATTGTAGGAATTTATGTTGACCATCTGGGAACGGAAGCAAGGAGCCGGCTTTATGATAAATTTGTTGTTTCACTTTGAAAGCTGGCATGAATTGAGCTGTTATGATTTCTGCGCCGAACGACGTTATTTGGAAGCATGAGTTGTATTTCCTGACGTTAGATAGGAAATGCTTTGATTCGGCGGTATATCCGGCAAGCAAAATTTTAATGGCTCTGGCGGTTCTCCAAGTTGAGGCTGTTACGCCGCAATTTCGAGACTGAAAATCAAAAGACATTTCCTAAATGTTATGAGACTTGCGAAAGCGTTTTATAACAATTAGAACGAGGATGACAACACCTGGACTAGGGATCTAGGTTAAGAATGTTGCTGATCAGCATTCATGCGTAATCGCATAAGTAGGAAGCTCCGCTAACTGGGCCACAGGAGTACAATGAATTTATCAAATACGCAGCGATGAGGTACCACGGACCTGCCCACCACCGTAGGGGTTAACCAATGGAAACCCTCCACCCCGAAATGTAGAACAAGGAGAGTAGTTAACCTCCCTCTTTCGCCAACTGCAGCGCCAGCAAAATTAGTGCACAAAAATGAGAAAAACTCAATGGGGATCCCATCTAAAAACGTAACAATTAGCCGAGGCTCTGTCCGACATGGGTACTACAAGTGGTGGTGTCGCTGCGTCTCTATTTCAAGTAAGTCATGTTTACTCATACTAGCCATGCTGTTAAACTTTGTGGTTGTTGGTAAATTGTTGTTTGTAAAATGTTCAAAAGAGACTCCAGCCTGCCCGGCGAGCCCTTAGGGTAGAATAGTAGAAATCATGTAACAAGTAACAGGCAATGGTTAGTGTGGTAAACATGGTTGTCGTTATAGTGTGTTATGTTTATTGATAGTATGCGGAGCACGCATGTTTGTTGTTCACAGTTGTGACCATGGATTTTGTGATAAATATACGTAGGCTTTTAGTAGGCATAACTTTAGGGGCAGAATATTTTAAGGGTGAAGAATTATGACAGAATAGTGTAGAATTGTGTATTGGGTAGTAGGGAATAAAGAGAGGAAAGAGGATCACATTGAACGATGAATACTTGCATATCCTCATGAGTCGAAACAGAGAGAGAGAGAGAGAGAGAGAGGCTCAAGTTCTACACCCCCGAAGGGGATAACATGAGGAAGGCATAGCATGAAAGTAAAGACACTATATAGTCCCGACTGAAAGTCGGCATCGTTCATACTGTAAATAGGATTGTAAATAAGAGTGTAAATAGACAATGTACGTAGGGTAGGATGTACCCAGAGTATGATTCGCCCTCACAAACTCCTCCCTTTCCCAATCCCAAGCGAAGGGCGGAACTGACCCAGGTGGCCAACGGCAGCCGGATGCAACTAACCGTAAGGGTTATGAGAATCCGAGTTAATGGTGAGAGACTAGTAGTAGAGACAGGGGGATGCGTTCCTGATGGAACAAGGGAAGAGCAATTTAGATAGTTTATTAGCCCCTTCAGGCATAACAAAGTGATAGCAGAGGTGGAGATCGTCCAACGAGAAGTGGCTGACAGAGAGAATTAGTAATTGTGTTTTACTCACCCCTGCCATCGAAGCATTACTGGCAACGGCGGTGGGCCGAGTCAACGAAGGGTTGACTGACGTAGAGAAGCGACTACCCACAGAGAAATGGCAGACAAAGTGATTTAGTGTATTTTAACCCACCCCCGTCACTAAGACATAATAATTGGTGACAGCGGTTAGATAACAAATCCACCCCTGTCGTAGAGGTGTAATATATGGCGTGACAGTCGATGAGTAGAGGCGGGTCAGACCCGACACGCCCGCTCTACGCCAATAATATGAGGCGACAGTGATGAAGGGGACAGCCAACAGAGAACGCTCGACTACCGTGCTACCGGCCCTTAGTATTTTCATCACCCCTTTTAAGATATAATAGATGGTGGCAGCTGTATGCAAAGAAGAAGGTCCAGAACCAGAAGAATCCTAGTTGAGGGTAATCTAGTATTCTTGTGTTAACCCCTTACAGCATAATATCTGGTGGCAAGGAGGGTTACCTCCACGCCCCCTGCCACCACGGTGTAATAGAGGCAGTTTAATTCTTCCCGCGGAGCAACACATTCCTTTCGTTTCTCCATTAAATTTCAGAGACTTTCAATAAGGACACACTTCAGTCATAGTGCCGATGAGAACATGCCGGTTCATACTATAATCTTCAGCTAGGCTGTACGGGAATGCAAGGCGATTTTAATCGCGTGATTGCTGAGCACGGAGTCGTATTTGACGCTAATCTGCTATTTCTCGTTGACGTCTTTCAGCCAATCTCAGCCTGTTGCGTTCATTTAGTTGAGAATGAAGCAGATCTGAAGCTGCAGAACGCGATCGCCGTGCTCGCAACCGTGCATCCTCAAGTCTGGCTGCACGTCGCTCTGCTGCTTCCTCGGCACGTATTTGAGCCATTCTTTGCCTTTCTCGCTCGTTCGCTGATGCCCGTTCCTCCCCAGTTTGATTTGCAATTACTCGTCACAGTGCTTCCGCTCCGCGAGTACGACGACCTAAGTTTGTTCTTCTGCGAGGCATTATTTGGATGAACTAAAGCAGATCGATTGCACTGAAGAAGAAGAAAGAAAGTTATAACAAAAACAAAATTGCAAGACATTAAAAAAGGATAGAACACGAACTGGAAAACAAAGAGGAAACAAAAAAATTAAAAAATACTAACGAAATATTTCAATTCAAA